ATTGCCTGTTAATGATTTTCACTGCTTTGTACTTTAGTCTATGCAAAAATAGTTCAAACATTGGAACATAGTTAAAAATTTCACGCATCAGCGCATGAAAGCTGAATTCGAAACCTTGAAGGGTGAATATCTCGTGATTCCCGAGTTAATAGTTTACCCGCCAAAATTTTTACCAGACCGTAGGTGATACTCAAGAGCGAGGGAACGCTGAATTTGAATACGCAAGGTTGAGCATGGGCAAGGGGTTATTAACCTAAAATTTCAGCCTCCTAGACTGCGTGGTTCCCGAGATAATATTTTACTCGTAAAAACTTTCACTAGCCCGTAGGTGATGCCCGAGAGCGCGGGAACGCTGGGTTTGAATGGGCAAGGTTGAGCATGGGCAGGGGGTCATTACCCTAAAATTTCAAGCTCCTGAACTCTGTGGTTCCTGAGATATTAATTTACCCGTGAAAAACTTTCACGGGGCCGTACGTGTTACCCGCGGGTACGGGAAGGCTGAATTTAAATTTACCGCGTCACCCGCCGGCGGGGAACACCATACCAAAATTTCGGCCACCTAGCTTTTGTGGTTCCCGAGTTGAAGGTGCGGGACAAAATGTGGGACACACACACACATACACAGACAACCCCGTGACAGTATGCGTTTTGTAACGCTGTTACGCAGTACAAAACGCATAATATGTACTTTCGGGCAATGAATTCCGTGTGAATTGCTGCGTGAACTCTCTGCTGAAGTGAATTGCAGAAGTTGCTCCAGAAACTCAGATCGAAACTGTTGCTGTGACATTTATGTTAGCCGGAGATGATTGTATGTCAAGAAGGTGGTGGAGCACGTGAAAGAAATCGACCGAAACCGGATGCAGCCACTCCGTCTGTAACAAACAATGGTTTGCACTTCTCCTCTTCACTGTTTGGAGGCCATTTTTGCAATTCCGAAGTTAGAAGGGATACTTTATACTCGTGGTCCTACTTGGGATGCACGGGCTTTTGTGGTTTTCGAGTGGGAAGTTGCGGACAAGTTGCTGTGGATACACGCAGACAACCCCGTGACATTATGCGTTTTGTGCATCTGTTGCACAGCACAAAACGCATAAAAACCAAAATTCTCCTGGGCGTCTTGGTATTCTTGGTATGTGCTAGCCACAGAGTGATGAGTATTTTACATCGGCGGCATCTTTTGTCCCATATTTTGTTACGTTATAAATGTGATTATGCAGGATTGCTTTTACAGCTGTCGGGCGGCCGTTTCAGTGTGCAGACTGCTCCGCCGATGATCCTCAATGGGCTTCCTTGAACAAAGGCGTTCTAATTTGTTCCGAGTGCTGCTATGTCCACAGGAATCTCGGTTACTTATACATTTTTGTATTTACGCAAAGTCAAGAACACACTCCAGTTGTTGCACAATTGTATGTAGTAATATACAGTTTTTTTTGCATACATATATGGTAATACATACGTATAAATACATATAATACATACGTATTAATACGTAATACATACGTATAACATACATATAATGCATATCCTTAAACTATGCATTTATGTATACATAGTTTAGGGGTTGGAGTTTCCCCTCTAGCGTTTGCTAGATCACATGTTTGAGTCAACTTCTTAACCATTCTGGTTCTGTCGTACGATTTTTATAAGGAAAGAGTTTTTTTTTAAGGAGCACTGAACAGTTGCGTTCCCCTCTCCCCCTCCTTCCCTGCTTTCCCTTCTCCTCCCGTTGCTGTCTTCTTTTTCTCCCGCTTCAGAATAATCAGCAGTAATGCATTCGTCACCCGCTGCGGTAGCGTGCCACTATGTTTTATATTATAGGTCCCCCAATATAGCTCTGTCTAGCTTAGTTGTTGTATTCTTCTGATCCAGCTTCAAATCAAAACCCAACCGAGGGCTTTGTTCAAGTTTCAGGATCATGGGAGGATGATTCCCAGTTCATTTCTGTTCCAAATGCATAGAACTTTGGCTCACCTGTATAAACAGTTCATGAGCAGAAAGCGGTTTTTCCAAAAACTGGAATATCGATTTTTCCTGGGAAAAAATTGCTTTATGAGCCAATTTTTTGCATCATCTTCCCCCTCTCGGCCTCTTCTTCCTTTGCTGACATATTTAGCGATGTTCAGTCGCCACGACCGATTTACTGATTATGTGCATTCTTCATTTCCTCCCTTCCGTCGCAGATTATGCATTTGCAAAATTGTTCAGGGCGTCATGTTAGCAATGTACGTTCGATCAAAAAAGGTGCGTGGAACAGCAGCCAGCTGGAGCTGATGTATATTTTATATTCGAATGGTTCCAATAACATTTGGGAGCATTCGCTGCTTGATCCACAGTGTGCCAATAAAATTCGCAGGAAACCGTCGCCGCAGTGAGATTTCGGATTTTTTCTTCCCTTCTTTGGAATTTTCATAACTTGAGGCTGCCATGGAGCTGGTTTATAGGGGGATTCTGCTCCGTTTCAGACTTACGTGGCCAGAGACTGTAGTGTTTCAGTTTCACTGAGTTAGATCTTAGGGACATCATGCACATCGCCTGTAAAGGCAACTGGCAGATGATAAAGGTAATTACCCTTTGCACCGGGTTAAATTTTGTTAGTAGTTTCCCTAAAGAACTTTGGGATTTTTAATCTACTAGAATTTGAGGAATTTAGAGTAACAAAGTTATTCGTTGTAGGTAAAGAAGAAACTTTGATCTCTTCAGCTTCTACGAGCAACGCATTACGGTTCTGCTCATTTCAGGATGCGGCTTTTTTTTCAAAGTTCAGAAACGACATTCTTTTTCAGCTTTTGTAGCAAAGTAAATATTTTTTCTTTTGCAGTGACCCTGTTCTTCCAATAAAGGAAAATTTTATTAAAGCAAAATATGCTCAAATGGCT